ATAGAGATTCCTTTTGAAAAAGAAAGGACTGAACAGAGCTTTTGGCAACCAGCCCTTGATCAACATCTCTGGGCTCTAGCCAGCCAACCTGGCAAGCAAAAACACTGCAACAAGAAACACAAAATTAAAAAAATAAAAAAATTAAATAGAAATGCAAACTTTGCAATTTAGCATGGAGAAAGATGGTCACCAGAACAAGCGTGAGTGACTAAAGAGAGGGGGAGAAGGACTGATCTCTAGTCAGTTTAGACATTTAAGAACAGAATTGCCACCGTGGTTTCCTTTTTCAGACAGGGAGAGTAAAGCAGGCACCACCCAAGGGCGAGTCACCTTGGGTACCTTAAGACACCTTAGCAGTGCCGTAAAGGCAAAGACTGGAATTACTGCGGAGAAGGCCACATCTAGAGATGCCAGATTTGGAGAATGTTCAAGGACTCAATATATTACATCAGCTATTTGATATTCAGATGGGAGAAATCTGCAACAGTGGTGCAACAAGGGCCAGGGAGAAAGTTACCTGCAGAACTGCAGCAAGATGAACTGGAAGCAAATCGGTACACGTGGGTTAGGATACAGTCAAGGAGCTGTGATAACCTATGCTAGCAGGAGGAGTGCAAGCCGCCTTAAATCATGGCCATCCAGAGCCCAGGTAATGTCAAAGTGGATGCCCATACCCCTTCGTGTTATTTACTTCCTGAGTAGCAAAGACCAGCAATAGAAACCAACTGAATTCCACATTTTTAACAGGGTTATCTCAGAGCAAATCGCCAAAGGTCACTAAAGGGCATTAGCACTCACTAGTAGGTAGGGAAATTGTGGTAACAGAAGGTTAAGTGATTTGTACATCCTTGCACAGGAAGACGGCAGCAGGGCTGATGAACAGCCGGCATCCTGTCCCTCCAGACCACAACAGCCGGTGCCATGCCCGAAGTGTCTTCAGCAACATGTATAATCAACACTACATACAAATTACATTAATATAGGCATGCAATTGCTTTTCTTATGTGTGCCTGGGCCGTAACATTTATCTAGAAAACAAACAACCCAGAAAATGATCTGATTTAACGATCGGAGACTCTACTTGTCCTTTAGCCTTCCTCTGCAAAATCAACCTTCACCCATCGGTGCATCTGCTGCAACTCTGCCCTGAAGGAGACGGTGTTAAGCCACTGCACACACACGCCCCCCAGAACTGCATTTAAATGGCACTGAATTAAAATGAAAATTTCAGGTTTCTGTAGGGCTGCATGTTAACCCCCATCCCATCGTGGTCCAGCAGGAACACACAACATACTTGGTGCTCCCCCTTACGACACTACGGAGTCTTTTGAGCCTGACTTTCTCCATCAAGCTTTGTAAAAGGCAAAACAAGTGCTAGATTGTAAGTTCAAGGCTTTCCACAAATCTTAGTTGTTATACGAGTTTGGTGTATTTTCACCAAGGACTAAATGGCACATCCTTGGAAAGGAGGAAGAAGTTAAGCAAGCAGCAAAACGCCAGACTGCCGATGTTAAATCCACAACGCTGACCACCAGTACATCAAACTAATTCCTAACGAGCCTTTCGGTGACCATGCTGGCAGCAGAGACCAGTGATGATGCTTCAGTCACCTGTGTGCCAGCAGACCTGTGTCCTGAACTAATGTTTCCGCTGATTTCAGTTGTGTTTAGGTGAGAACCTTGCGATTCACCAGGAATGTTCCGCCATGGAAAGATCTCCCCAGCTTCTAACATGCGCTTCATCAACTCGTTTGGTGGAGCCCGCGGTAAGTCGGTCTTTACTGGCTCATAATTAACTGGCGGAGTTCAGCCCTCAACAGGGACTTCCCAGTATCTTAGACAGTAGCCAGTATCTTCAACATTTGACAAGGAAATAGTTTTTTTTCTCTGTGCCCACTACCGTTGCAGCAGCCTCCCAGCCCCTCAGTCTCATGATAGTCTTTTTGCCAGATACGCAGCTGCAAGGCAGAGAAAAGAGCTCATAAACTGAAAATGGTTTTACAGTCCCCAGAACTGAGCTGATGTGCAGGTAAATTACAAAAGGAAAATTATTCTCCTTCCTTGCGCTACCAGCTCATCAAAACCTCTACTTCTCCTTCCCATTAAAAAAGGCTGTTAGAAGAACTCCTCCTCGTAGCTGACATTTTACAGATCTCTCTTCCTTGCTGCAAAGATCATCCATCTGAAAACCAAGTGTCTTTAAACAAAATGCCCCTTCCGCTTATCCTTCTTCCACGGAAGGACTGAGAATCCTTTTGCCTTCACAAAGGAAGATGCTGAACCCATCGGAACGAAAGATCTGCATTGGTGCAAAAGGACTAAAAGAAAAAACACTGGCCAGTCGACAGGATTGGTAGCTGCTTCAGGGCTATGCTCTTCAAAGCTTCACTTACGGTAACATCATCTCTTTAAACCATCAGCTCTTCTTAATCTCCTTCATTTAAATCCCCGCTCACGATTTAGACTCTCCTGACAAAAGCCTCTCGTTATTAGGAGCTCTCCAATCGCTCTCCTATTCACACTGCGTACACTCGCAAAATTCAGACAACTGTATCAGAAAACACAGTTCACTGAAATTTCAAAATAACTAAATCTGCATTACTCAAAACCGTATTCACTCACGAGCTCGCTTTGCTGGCTTCCCCAAGTCGTCTTGCTATACTTCCATTGCTGTGTGGGCTTGGGGTTTTCTTGAATTCTCATTTATTCTCTACTATTCAGACCTAAACATTTCTTTCCGCTTAGTTATGGGAAATCATGGGACCCTTCCCACAGTCACCGACTCCTGCCTTTTTTCCACATACCTACTCTTCTGAATGGATGATCTGTCCATTTAAGAGAACTCCTGTGCCTGCACAATAAGGGTCAGAGTCTTATTAACATCTGTCTAAATGGAACACATCTGGGTCTTACGAAATACTGGCAGCAGCATGGGTGTTCACAATGTTTTACAAGACAGAGTAAAACGCATCTAGAATTATGACTAACAGCCTGACATCATGGCCTGGTTTTGCACAGGGAATCGAAGACCAAGCAAACATCTTTGACCCTGTGATCATCTTACAACAAAAAGCACATCAGGACAGTCAGATATATGTATGACGTACGTTTTACATGGCATTACAATTCACCTGTCTGGATTATTGGGCAGAGAACAGCGATTAAGCCTTATCTCTATTGCACCAACAGGTGTTTCCCAAGAGGCTTTCATGGGCATATTCTGCATTTGTTTTGCATACAAGGTAGGAGGAGAACACAAAACAAGTTGTGACGGGCTGAGAATCAGGACAAATGGTAAGAACAAAGACAAGGGCATTTCTGTTTCTTAGACAATTATATTTTAGTGGTGTGATTGGATGCAATCACAGGATGAGCAGTATCTGAAGCTGCAGCTTTCCAGTATCTGAAGGGGGCCTACAAGGGTACTGGGAGAGGACTTTTTACAAGGGCCTGTAGTGATAGGACAAGGGGTAATGGGTATAAATTGAAATCAGGGAGGTTTAGATTAGATATCAGGAAGAAGTTCTTCCCGGAGAGGGTGGTGAGGCACTGGAACAGGTTGCCCAGAGAAGCTGTGGATGCCCCATCCCTGGAAGTGTTCAAGGCCAGGCTGGATGAGGCTTTGCGCAACCTGGTCTAGTGGAAGGTGTCCCTGCCCATGGCAGGGGGTTGGAACTAGATGATCTTTAAGGTCCCTTCCAACCCAAACCGTTCTATGATTCTATGAGGAGCGTCTTCTAGGGTTTCTTTCTTGCCCATGGGACAATGTCTACAGCACTGGCCGTAACGCAAAGCAGAGCGGAGCCAATCTGTAGCCAGGCACACTCTTCACCACAGCTTGTGTGGTGCTGCACTCTCTCTCTGTGAGCAGGTAACTTCTTAGGGAACATGGACTGGCCACTGGCTGTGCCAGCAGCACACTGGTCAGGACAGAGGAACGGCAGTGGTTGAATTCCGGAAGATTTTTATTCTGATCAGCAGCACTGAGGTGGCAAATAGAAGCAATCGGGCCTTAAGTATGACAACAATTTTTTTACTCTTCTCCAAACCCTGGAACATAATGCATAGTGAAAAAGGAGATGAACGCTCAAACTTTGAGGGATCTAAATTTTACTAATCTGCACAGATTTTGCATGAGATAGCCTGACTATTCATGTACTGAATTACCAGCAGTTGTGGCAGAGGCTGCTTCCTCTTCTGCTAGGTACCACACAGAAAGATTTAACAGCAGTTGGCCATGTTATCTACTCCAGGAATTCTGGCAACATGAAATTATCCAAGAAAGGACAGTACCAGGACCTAGAGTACTGCACAGTCCAGTCAATCGACCGCTTGCCCTCACACACGCTTTGTAACAAGCTTATAAACCTGAAAAGATCAGAAAAGCACTAACCTACCTGCCACTTCATGCCTCACCCCACGTCCACTAAGAGATTCCCTGAAAGCTTATGAACACTCACAATATTCCAAGTCACTGTGCTGACTGAGCACGAATGCTACACTCTGAAGCACCGATACAAAAAAAGGCAAGATTCTTGTCACCACGCTGATCGTCTGTGACCTATAGTGGCCTGAACATTCTAGCTCTGGGCACACTCTGGGCAGGGCTCAACTGGGCTGAGCCACTTTGCATATGCAGATACACAGAGTCACCTTCCTTCTGACCAAATGAGGCCTCTTGAAACACATCATTTTCAACAGCAGAGTTCATGCTAAATGATTCCCAACTGGCAAAAATAAACAATCACTGGACGTCTTTCCTCATAACTTGGTAAACTTTGTGTTTTTAAAAACAGGTTGTGTGGAGAGGGAGAAGGCAGAACAGCCTTAAGGATTACAAAGTCCTAAATTCCATGCCAAAGGCAGAAACTGGAGCAAGTCAATTCTTAACTAGTCTTCATCACTGTGACTCCCATAACATTTTATTCCCTAATTGTAAACTACACCCTTTTTGAGTTAAAGCAGCACCTCTTTCCACACAAATACCCGTTGCTGACATACCTTTCCAGAATTAACCAGTTCTGCTATTTCATCCAAACTTGGGCCACTTGGCATAAAAAATGCCCACCGATAATGGACTCCTTTAAAGAGATACTGCAAGAGAGATCACAAATATATTAAAAAAATCATGAAAGGAAACTGAAATGGGAACTAACATCAATGACAGAAGCACTAGAGAAGGAATTTAAGGAAAAGACATGGAAATTATATGCTAGTGTCTGAAAAAAATGTCACCTAAGCACATGGATTAAATGTACAGACAGGGATGTTGTATTACCACAATAGGATAAGGGTAAATTTTGTGTCCAAGTGCACAAGTCAGCCAGCTGAGAACAACCACCACCTTGTCTCTGCAGCTAAGACCAGCATTATTTGTTATGTGAGAGAAGAACGGTGCTATATGTTTATACACGTTCAGAAAGGGGGTGAAAGAAATCCAGCAATGTGACATTTGGAACCTTACACCTCAGGGTCAGCAATTAAATCCTGAACCATCACATCTGCCAAAGTCATCCCTGCCCAATGACAGATGGCAGCTCACATGGAAAGCATTTGGGGAAGATCTCACAAGCACAAGTCTAAGGCACCTCCTCCGAGGGAGTCATTACAGGACTAAGAGCCAGCATCTGCCTAAGAGAGATGAATTTTAATGCATGGCACACAATGCTCCTCATCATGGCAACATGCACACTGAGAAACACCATTACGTTATTTCTTCCCAGCCTTTTCATTTTGTTTTTGAGCTTTCCTTTGAAAGTACTGGTGCAGGACTTAGAATCCCATTCAGCCATGCCATCACAGGAATACCATAGCAACTGCCTGAAAAGCATTCATGTGGAGAGCAAGTACACGTGTTGAAAGAAGAAAGAGAAAAGTTCTAAAAAGCCTCACTGATCTGGCCACTGGCAGAACATTTTAAGATCCACTTATGAAAACTAGAAAAATCAGTATCCATCCAGACACATGAACGTGAAAGAGATGAAAGACTTTCTAGCCACCCTCCACCACTTGTATTACTCTCTGGTGCTGGAATAGGATGAAGAGAATCAGTCATGGAACAATGTTTTGAGAGCAAGCTTGACCAGCCTAAAGCAAGTAGCAAAATTACCCTCCCTTCAATGAGGCAGGGCTTTGCTCTGCTTCCGATGAAACACTAGCTGTCAGCAGGACTCGCTAGGGAGGACAGATGGGGAAGGCCACAGTGAAAAGCACAATAAGGAATCAAAACTTCAAAGCACCCCAAACTACCACACTCACCAATCAGCACCACCCCAGCACATCGGGGGTTTTTCAGTGCAAGAAAGAAGGAAAGAAGAAAAATGCATCTGAATCCTAGTTAATGATACACGAGGAAACTGAAACAGATGCAGCTAGATGAGCCACATGACGAGCATCCAAGCCACAAAGGAACCCACCGGAGTGCTACATAACAGCAAAGTATATAGGATTTTGTCAAATACCTTTACAGTTTTGGAACCAACGGTGACTCCCGTTTGTAACATGCCATCAGCCACTCCAAGTCTGTCCATATTGATCAGGAAAGGTGTCACTAAGGTAACGTACGTTGCTCCTGACCACTTCTTCAGGAGATCTAGAGCCCACTTCTCAGTGGATCCGCCAACATTATCTAGGATGAAATCAAATCTGCAGACATGTAAAGAACAGGTTTAAAAATCACAGTATGGGAAAAATTATTTCATCATAATTAAGCTAATTCATATCAGAAATTGGCTATTGTTTACATTTTTACATGTCTCTTCAACGTAATAAAATAACGTGCCTGCAAGACAGTGGCAAGAAAGTCCCAAGACTTCAGCTAAATCCCAGCTTTACTGTACAATAGAAGTTAAATTTACAGGTTATTGCCCATTCACTGTACAGCAGGCATAGGCTATTCATATAACTTAATCTGCACTTACAGCGCCAAAAAGCAGACTCTTAGATGCACAACGACATTCTCTACTTGCCTAAAGCCTTCTAGAGCTCCGTCTCTTCAGCCCTCACACCGAGACTGGGGAGCAGTCTTGAGGCCTGGTCCTACCACTAAACTATATGGTACATGCATGTAAAAAGTAGTCTGGGCTCACACCCTGACTAAGACCATCTCCTGTACATGCTCTACTCACGTAAAAGTCAGTTCCAGTGGCCAAAGGTATGTAAACAAATTACTAACCCTTAAGTCTTCACATCTTTTCTGTGACACAATTCTCAGCCTCACTTCTAAAAGTCTTTTTTGACCTCCTTACTTGTTTTGGGGCCATTTACCTCTACTGACAGCTCTTTCCTTCACATCTACCTATTTGACGTAAAACCTAACAACGCAAAGGGCCTAAACCCTCCCCTCCCATGGAATGGGTATGTGCAGCCTCTGGCAACAAGCCCCAGTTTCAGCGTTCCTTCTCATTATCCCAGCACATGAGCCTGTCGAGGCTGAATAGGGCAACAGGGAGCCATGCACGGCTTATTCTCATCTTCACCTGTACATTTCCTGCAATCTCCAGATTGCAACAGACATGTATATACACATACATCTAATCTCAACAAACAACAAATATGAGGGAAAATACGCCAATTAAATAGGAAAGTTCTTCTCTCTGGAAACAGTTTTCCTGCCTGCCTTTCAAGATGTAATTTTATGTTAAGTTCTGTCAATCTAACAGCTGCCAACAAGAGAAATTGAAATTGTGAAAACTAATGCTTCAGGAAGAACTAGCTCACTTCTGGGATGTGAAGAGTCAGTACAGCTGAAGAGGGAAGGAGGATCATCCCCCTCAGGATACCTGCCTGATCATAGCTTATCATAAAACTGCACCCTAGGACAGCGCTGTCGGTATCTCCTAAAAAGGGACACTTGCTGGATTGGGTGTTTAGCATTTAAGATGCTGAATTGCACAAAGGTAAATTCAGCACTGCTCGCAAACAGCCAGGTTAGTTGCTGCGTGTCCTGCCCACACAGTGCCGGTACCCTCACAGTTGACCTCAGGCCTGCTGACAGTCACACCATAGTTAAAAGGCACATGTCACCTTAGCAGAGCCATCAGTGAGATTCAACCACTGACTGAACAGCTTCTGTTTCCCCTTCCAGAAAGTTAACTCAATCTAGCTAAAAAGAGCAGTGTCAATACCATATTCAAATACAAGTCACAGCAGACTAGGTTTAAACAGATGGAAATATAACGAAAGCAAAAAAAAACCCCACTTCAGTTCTACAGAAAACCCCCAAGCTACTTTAAACATAACTGCTGTGACAAGATAACTGTGATTGTTTCTCAGAGGCAGCCGTACCCAGTGTTACAGAAGAGAAATTTACTCCCAGCTGAGCTGTACAGTAGCTAAGACCTTTAAGCAAGTCACTTAACTGCTTCGTGACAGAGTTCTTCCTTGTAGAAGATCCATTTTACTATTTACTAACCTCACACAGGATTTCTGAGACTTATTTTAATTTATTCATGCTTTGTAAACGCTCCAAGATCCTTGGATGGAAGCTGACAAAACTCTTGCAAATCTCAGTCACTGAGGAGAATCACGTGAGAGCGAGCTTGCCTCCACAAGCCCAACTAACCGGCTGGGTCTTGCAACGAAATCTGTGCTTGGGATACCCACCTGGCAAAGTGCATTCGCAGAGGGCAGGGATGGATTTGCTTTATAAAGTAACGCTCTAGAAATAGGGGGATGCTGGGGGGAGGGAGGGGAGAGGGAGTTCTCATAGACTGGAGTCAGAAATTCAAAAGGCAGAAGGTCTGACTGCCAACTCCTTCATCTCAGTATTGGGCAACACAGGCACGTACAAGGGTAATGTTTTAAGTTGCTCCTCCAGATTTCCAGATTTGTAATCAATCACATCATCTGCTCCAAGCTTTTTCATCAGCGTGCTAGCATCATGAGAACAAACTGCTGTCACGTGAGCACCCCAGGCCTTCACTAGCTGAAAAAAAAAAAAGCAAGTATTGAAAAAAAGGAAGTCCGAAGTTTAAAATATAGTGAAACACTGAGAACAACTTAAAAAGCCAAAGTCTTATTATATTTATATAATAAATGAGCACCTTCAGTAGGGAGTGGGAAGACTGTATTCCAACACAGGATAACTTGTCACACATCCCACACAGGCACACACTGGTTAGAATTGATCAGTATTTAAGGGGTTTTTGGGGAGGCAGGAGTTGTTGTGGAGGAAGGAGGGTGTTTTTTTAATGCCACTTACAGACATCAGGTCCCAGGACAAACAGAGCTTCAAATAAAATGCTCAATTCATCTGAATCTGCCAGCTAATTCTATACAAAGAGGTACTGTCCAAGTTACCCACCTACAAAACTGTCCCCAGATCTACCATCCAATAATTTTAAATATTTAAGTTTAAAATATTTTAGATTCCTACCTGCTCATCATTATTTTACATATCTGTTTCACTGTAAATAGCTTAAATATTAAAAAATGAGAAAAAGGAGGAAGTCATCTCTGATTTACCACAGGGAGGATGTCAGGTGAAGGATTTTTGCTAGTTATTTATCTCTTTTGTAACCTCATTTTTCATTCACAGTAACCTTTTCCACATTTATTCCAGATTAATGTAGTTTACTCAGGATTAATCAGATAGGAATCGCAACTAGTCGGTGGCTGGGCAGCCTTTTGTGCTGATCGAATTGAGCCACCTGCTCTATATGGATCAGAAAAATAACATAGCTGCTAAAAATTCTCCTGTAAGCCTCTTTAAAACCACTATGTTTATGGTCTAGCAACACAGAACGCAGCGATGCAGTCACCCAATTTCTGTACTTTTTTTGCATTCCGAAGAGAAAGACGTTTCAGCATGAGATGACACCAATTAGAATCAAAATCCCCAAATTAAATAAGAGTGTGAGAAGAGGATGTTCCACAATTAAAGGATCAATGAGAGAGCATGTTGACTCTCCAAAGCTCAGAGCTACTGGGATGAAGACAGACGAAATGGCAGCAGGGCAAAGACCCAGAGGGAAAGTTCATCTGAGCCCGTGTGCTTTACGTACACTGCACATAAACGTCTGGTCCCTCTCACATCATCTGACCACCTACAACAGTGATGGCAGATGATATATTCACTCTCCATCAGTTTTTCTACTCATACACCAAGTTATTTTCATATTTATGGAGCAGAGCTGCCTGGAAGATTAATGAAAACAGGCCACATCTTTTGAGCTACATCAATTAGAGGTTCCCTGCACCCACACTGTGAAATGCTATCTTTCACTACCTACACTTGGAACTCCCTTCTTTGAAAGTCCCTGCTTCCCACTTTAAACTAATACAACGTAACCAATGGAAAAATAAATCTGGAAATACTTCACTATGGGAAATACTGATCAGATTGACGAGAGAGATCGATCAGTAGCTTTTTATTTCGTTATTCCTTCCCTCAATTCCCTTACATTTTTTTTTTTCCCCATACTGAATAGTTTGAAGATGCACCCTGGGCATGCTGGTTGTTATTACCTGTACAGCAAACGTACCAACTCCTCCTGAAGCTCCTAATATTAATACTCTGTAAGAGAAAATTAAAATATATTACATAGTTCTTCACATAAATTCTACAGTGACTATGTATTCAAATGCTTCTTATACATCCCTGACACCAAATCATTTTAAGAAAAGGTTGTATTTGTCATTGAATGTTCCTTAGTGGTTAACTCTTCAGATAGCCACTAATATGACTTAACATTGCTGATCATGTTTCCTGTGACAAGAGCATTATCTCAGCACAGCCAAAGAGACATCTTCATCTGCTTTCCACTAAATCCAGGCAGCAGAGCTGCCAGGCAGTAACATTTATCACCCAAAACCCCTGTCCCTGTCCTCACCTTCCCAAACATACTTGCTTAGTTTGGGACAAAATCAGTTGAGAGTCTTTCGGAGAGTCCACGGTCGTATCTCCTACAGAAAATATCTGATTCACCAACATTTTACACAGATTGGTGTTATCCAAGAGAAAAAGTAGTTCAGTATCACATTACTTAGGGAGACTGGGAACTTCAGAATATATGGAACACAATATTCCCATACTGCATAACATTCATCTAAAGTCAAAAATACAATGAAATAGCCTAAGTTTAAGTTCTATCAAATTATCTGCCTTTTTCTTTAGAAAACAAAAGGCAGTAGAATTTTTCTAGTTCGTTACATCTCAACAAGACCCTGTAAGTGCCGGGTTGTGGAAACTGGCCCACAAGCGAGAAAATGAAAGATTATATTACCAAATTATTAGCAAGTGAGAGTTCATTTTAAATGAACACACAACCCTGAATTTCATAAAAAAAGAATGCAAGTTTAGTTGTGTGAAAACCTTGCTGCCAGCAGCCTAATCACTGTTCAAAAATTTCAACCAGGTATTTCATTTAATAACTAAACTTCAGAAAGCGAATTAGTTAAAAAGCCTTGCTACTGAAGTTACAAAGAGTGCTTGGACTTTGGACTCATTTTCTAATTCTAGGACAAAAGGAAGATCCAAGATGGAAGTCTTGGCACAGGACTGGGGAACATCATGTTTCTCAGAACTTCTGTTTGCCAGAGAAATTTCAGAAGCTGGGGATGTTCCTGTTTTAAATCTCACTGAGCCGGATGTTGGAGGAAATTGCTTTTTACAGTGCAAAAATTGTACTATACAATCTGGAGTCTCAGTTTACAAAAATTCTTTGAAGTAACCTAAGAGACTTGGCTTTGGTCACAGTATCCATTTTAAAATGCTTCCTCTCTTGTAACCGATCAGATTCCGTTCCCTCCCATTTCACTGATCCAAGCTGCAAAATTCAGATTAAGAATTTGAAACCACAATGCCTGCAGCTTTTAAATCTGCCAAAAAGTATTTATCCTCAGAACCATGCTTCTAAGGACAGATGCCTGAAGCAACATTCATATTTAGATTTTATTACACTTGAAAAGGCTCAGGGATGCTACACTCAAGATACTGGGTTAAGCCCATCTTTATCCTCACAAAGGACAGTCACAATTAAATCCTTTCCAAAAAAACCTTGTCAAACCGCCTTTCCAATTTTACTCCTTGCTTAAAGGGCATTTCTTCCACTACAAATTTTGGAGAAAGCTGCCGTTTTAAAATGTACGTTTTGCTCAAGGATTTAGGTAACGTTTTCAGTTTTGGGGAGCTGCTTGGCTCGGACTTTTTTTTTTTTTACTGCCCCCTTCACAGAATCATAGAATGGTTTGGGTTGGAAGGGACCTAAAAGACCATCTAGTTCCAACCCCCCTGCCACTGGCAGGGACACCTTCCACTAGACCACGTTGCTCAAAGCCTTCAGTAAAAGCCCTTGAGGTTCTTCAGGTACAAATACTTTCCAGATTTGGGTTGTTCCTATGTTACACGGGATATTTTCTACCAAACTTTCTAATTACTGAAACTCTCTCCATACATTATGACTTCAAGAAAGCTCTTTGCTTCAGAGGCAAACTATGTCTGCACAGGAGATCCACGTGCCACAGCTCAACGGATCAGCATTTACAGCACTGAGGACAGCAAGACACGTCCTTTGGCACGTCCTTTGGCACCAAAGATGGAAGTAGGGAAGTGTTTGAAGGCACAGGACCTGTTAGGATGGTATTGAAGGACCACAGATGGTGGGAAGTGCCAAAGCAAGCAGAGTTTTTCTTGCACTGCCTCAGGGAAACTACCTGTTGCACTGAAAAGGTGAGCTCAGGAGTGAACTAACACGTAAGCATGTGCACGAGGGAACAAACTGACAAATTGTTTGACCTGAACAGAGATCCTAGAGAACCAATTCTCCCAAAAGAACAAAACGAACGTTCACACTCCAGGCCTTGCTCCCATCTGACACAGGCACACAACTCAAGCCAGCATCCACCAAGCCCCATATGAGGCTGTATCGGTTCAAATGATCGGAGAGTCAGAAGATCTCTCCAGATAAGCATATCATGGGATCTGAGAGTTTATGGTGTAGTCAGAAACTAGCATCAGAGAGCCAGGATCTGTTTTGGCTGCGTCCCCATTCCCCCACCAGAAGACATGGGGGGTGGGGAGTGGGTGTACAGATCAAGGACTAACATTTTCTCCAAAATACAAACAACTGAAGTTTCTCAGTGACTCAGCTACATGGCAAATAAAAAAATATTATATTTATTGAATAAATATATCAATTATATATACATCTAAAAATCCATTTTTGATTATGCCAACAAAAGAGATTTACTCCTGTATCAAGAAGCACTTACCCTATCAAGAAGTCTGACAAGCTACACTCACTTTGTACTTCTCAACAGATAAAATTATGAAGTAACACACAGACTTTGAAAAAAATATTTTCTTGGCGTATTATATCATTCAAATTTTCATTGTAACAACATAAACCAGGAGTGTACGTTTAATAGCTTACAGTAACAGAACCCAGTATCTCTCCCCCGCCTACTTAAACATATAAAATGTTGATCCTGTATTTATATAAAAGACTTTTACTTAATGTAAATGTTTTCATGAGCTTCTCAGAATGTCAATTTTGGGTTTATCATGCTTTTTGTGAATACAGCAAGCAAGATGTTTAACAGCTATTGTTATAAGATCATAGAATCACAGAACGGTTTGGGTTGGAAGGGACCTTAAATACCATCTAGTTCCAACCTGGTGTAGGATAAAAGTTACAGAGAAATGACTGGACTTAGAGTGAAGCAGGAGACATCACCAACAATGTAAGCATGCTCCAGGTAACTTGTAAAAACAAGATTTGTGGAAGTGTGTGCAGATCAGATGCAGCAGATACTCCTGTCAGCTCAACATAGAGTCAGACACTGGACTGCTATCGAGTATTTTTGGTTCGCCCACCCTTCCACCTCAAAGAGGCAAAGAATACAATACACACCAATAGGAAAATCTCGCTGTTTCTAAGGTGTCTTAACGCTGCGATAAAGTATCAGTGAAGGAGCTTTCATCAAGGAATACAGCTGCTCTTTCAAAATAAGGCACACTCTTGTGTGTATACGCACCCTTCTACATAGCTATTTACATACACCTACAGGAGACAAAAAGACCAAGACAAAATCACCTATGCAGCTACCTTCTTACCAAACATACTAACTTATTTCAATAAATTAAGATACATTACGTAAATTCTTGTCTTTTGAAATTATTGCCTTGAGAGAGTAATGTAAAGTTCACGGAATATACTTTTGCACAGTCTCTCCAATGCATTTTATGTGTTTCCTACAAGAAATTTTTAGGGGAAAAAACCTATCATCACTTAAATAATTCTCTGCTGGTTTTACAAGTCAAAACTTCTAGATGGGAAACATCATCATTTTATATGTCCATTAAAATGCTTTTGCTGACAAAGTAATTAAATATTTACTGGGAACATAAAAGTTAAGTGTTAAATGTAAAGACAAGATATAAATGCAGTTTGAATTTCACTTTTAACGATCCATACACTTACCTGAAGATTGGAAAGATACTTCCAACAAGGCTAGCCTATCAGTGTATCTTTAGGTTAATTCCATCTACATGTGAAAGTTAAGCTAGTAAAAAATTTCTAAATACTGAAAAATAAAAAGGAAGGCAACGCATCTAGAATTGTATCACTAGCTGGAAGCTAATTTCAATGACGTCTCCTTGAGCGAGCTTTAAATTTTGCCATTTTGTTTCCTCAAAACGCTGTTTATCTTCAGAACAAACAATCACTTGATATTTTCATGATGAAATTTACTGTGACATATGAACAACCACTCACTCAACTGTCTTCTAAAGATGTGGGTGAAGAATTCCAATAAATCTAGTGTTCTTTGCAATGTGTTGCATTACAACAGACACACCCAAGATAAGAGGAGGTCAGGCATCTAGACTCCTACTGCCCAATTACTTTAAGACCTAAATTCTTGGTGCAGCATAGTAACTGTAATGGTTATTTTTCACTTCTAGTATTTTTACTTTAGCCCTTCCTTCCATTCTGAGCATTTTGCTTTCTATTTACACGAACATCCAAAGGCCAAAATAACTACAAATTTCAATTATCAGGAGAAAAATGGAATCTGCTCAAATCTTTCAATGCATTTTTCCTCTTCTATCCTCCATCTGCCAATGTCAGATTAACAGGCTGATAAAGAAACCATATTTTTGGCTGCTCGTCTTGCACGTTTTTCTGTTCTCTTTCGCTTTCCTGACCTCATCAAAGGTCAAGTAAGACCCAGTCACCTGCTAACCTTTTTCTAAAAAGCTGAGGAACCAGTCTTTTCCATGCACACAGGAACTGAGTGAACAACACCTCTGTGGTTGATAGGGCTTTTTCTAGTTGCCAAAATAACTCAGAGAGAAGATACTATATTTAGAGAGCTGTCCTAGCAGACAGAAAGGCAAAGTCCCTATAAATTCCCAGAGATACAAACCTTAAATTCTCTGCATAGTCCTACAGATTAGATATACCTTTGTCTACCTCTACACAGTCCCTGTATAGAGGAAGGGAGCAGAAAGTGAGTCGGTACAACTTCAGTTAGGGTGCTCATCTGAGTCTCCCTCCAAAGAAGCCCCTCTCTCAGCAGCTGTGTAGATTGAACCTATCATCTTCAGACCAGTTGGTCTTTGCCGATGTCATGGTGTGTCTTCATCACTGCCTGACGTGCCTTAGAAGCAGCTAATTAGTACAGAAATGAAACACTTAAGTTTTAGCACCAGAACTGTTTACTTACCTTTTCCCACTACAGTTACTTCGGTTCAGTCCTCCAACTTGGTTAACTGCAGACCAGGCTGTGAGACCTACGTATGGTAAGGAGGCAGCTTCTGTGTGACTGAGACACTTGGGCTTGAAAGCCACCTGAAATAAAATCAATCGTATCTAAGTCACACAGCAGATCCTACGTAACACCGCAATATTTAAACAAGCTTCAGTGAATTGCAGATCGCATGTCCCACATTTTCAACTATCTCCATAACTAGCTGGAGTCTAAATCAACCCAGGCACCAAGAAATAGACAGTTGCTTAGACACCAAAGGGAAAAAAAAAAAGCTAGTCTTAGCAATTCTGGGATTTGGTCTGTTAGCCACATTTTTGAAGGTTTACCTCGTTTCCACTAGCTACCACAAACTCTGACAGAGTGCCCTGTTTCCACGGCGGAATTGCTGCCCACACCTAAAACCAAACAGAAAACAACTATCGATTTTTGTGACTTTGCACATGATTGTACCTCAACAGAAGTTTTCTTCATTAAAGAAATCTTTTTTTCCGATTTGCAGAATGTCTTCAATGTTGCTTATCAGAAACCAGTTTGGCTTACTCTTTACACCAAAAACATCGCAGGACTGACTAAATGAAGGACTGCAGAGCTATGTGTATAAGACTTAATTTAAAAAAATACAAAAACAAAACCAAAAAAAACCCCCGAAAAAACAAGAACTACTTCTATACCAGGAAAGACCAGATTGGAGGGGATGGAGCAGGGAGGAATCAGAATTTGCTATACTAAAACTAGTGAAATGTGAAAGTAGCTGGTGAAGGTGAAAGCAAAGAATACCAGTATTTTATGTGGGGTCTCACAAAGTGGTTCTTGGGTTCTTATTCTCAGTAACTCAAGAGAAAACAAACAAACCCCAAAACCAAAAACTAATCCCTTCCCGTTAGAATTCTGTCTTCCGTCAAAAATGAAGCAACATCTTGAGTGTGCACTTATAAATAAATAACAAACTCCTCTCTTGCTACCACTGAAATGGACCAAAAATTAAAAAACAGAAGGGAAATTAACTTGCAGAAGCAAGTCTGGGAAAGACCAAGTTTTTCAGAGAAAAAAGGTAGGGAAGAAAGTATTCTAGGAATTTACTGCCTGACAGTCCTCATTCAGAGTGCAACAACATAAAAAGTGAATTTTCTCACAAAGAAAGCAAAAGCCGAACATCTCAGAGGATATTTTAACTACACATTTTAGAAAAAAAAAAAAGAGATTGGTGGTATCACCTCATCTCCAGGTTTGAAATAAGACACACTCAGTCCACATTCCATAACAACACCAGAGACATCTCGACCAAGTGTTAGTGGAAATTCAGTGTCGGTGCTTTTGAGTTTCAGGGGATCCCGCTTCATATTTAATGCGGTTGCACCATAACCACCTGCAAAACATGAAATGAACCATGACATAGAATCATAGAATCATAGAATGGTTAGGGTTGGAAGGGACCTTAAAGATCATCTAGTTCCAACCCCCCTGCCATGGGCAGGGACACCTTCCACTAGACCAGGTTGCTCAAAGCCACATCCAGCCTGGCCTTGAAGACATCCAGGGATGGGGCATCCACAACATCTCCGGGCAACCTGTTCCAGTGCCTCATGACATATCGTACTGAGTTTTCATTTATTAACTGGACAATTCCAGTTAGAAAGCACTGTCTGTACTTAATGTGTGTCAGCTCTGTTATTACTCCAGCATGCAAAAAATATGCAATATTTTATACTTTTACAGATTTTAGAAATAAAGAGCAAATCTAATTCTGGCCTACTTGTCCATGAAATGGCTCTCCATTATAAAATTATTTACTATGTGATAACACTGTCAGAAATTCTGATTCTGAAAGGCTGGAAATGCTCCATTTTCCAACAGCATCATGTAGCTACAAATCCAAAAGAACGCCAAGTTTTCCATCTGCTTTTTCAAATAATGTACTTTAAAAAGCAACATGAACATCTTTGTAAAAAAATATTAAGGCACATCTCCTAAGATGAGTAACCTGAACTTCTGTTCAGAAAGCAATAACTAAATGCTGCGAACCCTCAGAATTTCCCATCTAGTAGCTCTGCTTAGCCTAAAAAAAAAGGCTGCATTCAGGCACATACGCCCTTTGGGAGTGTTTGGACAGGTCTGCCCAGGTGCCCTATTATGCTACTAAGTGTTTTAATACTGAAAAGTAACAAACACAAAGATACCACCTTGAAAGCCGGATGAAATTGTAGTTTCTTCCAAATACTTTTACACTGACTCAAAAGTTGCAGCCCAGCAGTTCAAGTGGGTCACTCAACAGGCATCCTCAGATAGCAAATGTCCCATAATCAAACTCACAACTACATACAGAGATTTTTTTTACAAGTCACTAATTAGAGACCCCAAACACCAATCACAGCTCTGTCAGTAGGCTTCCTGCAGGCATCTCTGCATGCGCTCCTGAATCTGATTCGATACGCAAGATCGCTTCTCAACATGAAATATAAGGTCTTCTACTACTGCAACTTCCTTTGTCTACTTCGAACCTTGAAATTGAGAAGAAAATCCGCTTAAATGAGGCAAATACAAAGAGTTAAGTCAGTCAAAGATGTAGGTTTCCTGGGCCAGATGACAGCAAGTACTCAGATGCCAACTCAGGATGAAGGGGCCTGACAAGGAACAACATGGTCGGGATTAGGTCACACATGCCGACTTTGACCTTCAACCCCATCCACCTCAAAGAGATGAGAAAACCCAGGACCTCTCCTGGGGACACTGCTCCTTGGGAAGCCTGGTCTGTTGATGGGAAGAGTTCCAGGGCCCGGATGGTGCCACCACCCAGGTGAGAAGACCAGGAAGTGAACCCCACCATGGTTACGCCATGCAAAAGGAAGCTGCCAAGCCTGCGGAGGACAGCAATCAGTCGCTCATTAAAAGATTACCCCCTGCAACATGCACACTCTTGCCTTCATAAAGGCAAGGGTTTATGTACTGTTCTTCCTAAAGAACCAGAAAAACCAAGTTTCGGAGAGGCGGTTTCCCACAGGGCTGAGGTCGAGGCGTGCTCTGGGGCTCTGGCAGGTGCCCGCAGGGGCAGGCTGGTGACTGCGGAGGCCGGGGGACAAGGGGGAGCCTCAATGCAAGCACAGCC